ACTGCCGAACGGGCCGGTGTGCGCACGCGCACACTGCCCGTTTGCAGTCATCGTAAGCCCGCCCCTCATTACAGTCATCGTAAGCCTGCCCCTCAAGGGGGCGGGCTTGCGATGATCGCAAGTACGATCTGCCTGTCCAAGATGGGCAGATCGTACGTTTTTTAAGTACTTTACAACCATCGCAAGACTAAGGTCTTGCAATGGTTGTAAAGTGTATGGCCACCTTAATGCAGTCCTCTGGCCGGCGGCAGCTCTGCGGCTCCTCAGACCCATGAAGATCGTCAGGTGAGAGAGCTGCTGGCTGGCAAGGCCAGATCTAATGATAATTAATTATCATCAGGCGGGCCAGAGATAATTACGCCGCAGGCCGGTTCTGGCCCGCAGCCCTTGAGTTTGACACGTATGCTATAGAGTATCACTTGAGTGACAGCTCAACTTGTGGACTTGTTATAGTGGCACTTGGGATGAGGACAGATCGAGGTGGTCATGCATACGCTGTTTGATGCAAAGCTGATGGATTTAAATCCAAAGCATCAGCATGACAGCCAGGGAACTAGCATTCTACAAAGTCAAGTTCACTGATGGCAGCCCCCATGCTTCTCTCCTGACAGGTGTCCTTTAAAATGTATGAAACATCTGTGGATCACTTCGCGCGCCTGACTGGAATATACCTGTAATTCGCAGGTGGGTGCTTAAGTGACCACAGATGGTGCCGCCAATCAATCCAAAGCAGAAGAGGTAGTCACCAGCACTCCAGTAATTCGCAATGCAAAGCAATGTTTTGGAACCATGTTGGTCCCTTCGTCAGTCAAACAAAGTGATCTTCACTTGTCTGATGAAGAGACCAACATGCTTCCGAAACATTGCTTTCCATTGTGAAATTACCTTTTAAAAGTCAATAAAAGAGTATTGACGGAGCGATCACTGGAGTGCTGGTGACTACTTCTTCTGCTTGGGATTAAAATGTATTAAAACACAAAAATGTAATTCCCATTCCATAGATGTTGTTGCTGCATTCGTTTTTCTTTTTCTGTTTTTTTAACCTTTATTTTCACCTGGTGATCCTGCCATTAACACACTTCCTGTCCTAGGGTGACAGTGGTCATGCACTGTACTGCATCTATGGAGTAGCAACGTTGTCACCCTAAGGCAGGAAGTGTGTTGGGACAACAAAACACCTCCACTTCTCTTCTCTTTAACATGGGGAGAGGTGCTTTGTAGCCCACATAGAGAGATGGGAACAATGTAACTAATAGGAGAGCAGTACAGGCAGAGAGCACAGGAGGTTATCAGACCACTGGAGTTCTGACATGCATTCAATTGCACTTATCAAACAGACATAACAGATATACACAGTTTTTCATTGTTAGGGCTTACATACCCTTTAACTGTGAAAGCTTAGAATTCAAGATGATGAAAAAATAAATAATTTTGCACCCTCTTGTGGAACAATTTAAGATCAAAATCTAAAAGAGTCAACTGGCAAATTATTATAAACCATTACATGAGTACTGGGAAAGCTCAGATTTATTCCAATACGAATTAGCCCGAGACTTTTGGTCCCTGATCTGCTTGGCCTCAGTGACCCATTCCTCCAATAGATCCACTTTGCAGGTAACGAGGTCCGCTCTGAAAGAACAAGTCCTCAAATCCTCAAAACTTCAATCAAGCAATACTTCAATGGTTGTTCTCTTTCTGAGCTGACCTCGTTATCTGGTAAATGGAATTATTGGAGGACTAAGGTCATATGTTCTGCAGGGATATAATATTCCTCAACTTGAACAAGCACTGACCTACCTCCAGCATAGGGGGTCTTATGTATTTGGTGAGACTTGTGTCCAGTTGTTGGTGGATTTGACATAAAAGATTGGACATTTTTTGGGCCACTTTGGATCCTTTGTTTGAAGACACTTTATGTTTGGACTGTTTTGAATTTTATTGGGACATTACACGACGGGGCTTATTTATAAATCAGTGAATCCAATATTCAGCACACATTCTTTGCAGGAGAATCTTCCAGGTTCATGTATTTAAATCACAATTATTGATTTTTTTACCAATGTTATTTTGTATTTTGATAGATTATGCTCTGAAAACCCTGATACAGATGGTGTGCAGTGACAGTGATCACTTTTTCCCTTGCTTGGCCAGTAGAATGCTAGGTGGGGTAAAAAAAATAATGTGTGTCTAAGGGGTCTTTAGCAGATAACTATACCTTTTTATAGTTATCCTTTAAGTCTCCCCCCCACCAAAGTCTTATACTCACCTGTCCACATGTACTGCCACTGCAGCCCCTTTATATATTTTTTATTCATTATTCTGTGTAACAAGGACACTCCACTGTAGTCCAGGAAATTCAAGTAAAACGCAGTTTATTAAGGGCAAACACAAAAAGTGTCTGTTCATCCACAGGGTAGCCGTCCCCTGTTAAACAAGACTGCTTGCAGCAGCAACATAAAAGACAATCTCTTGTTCACATAAAGGTCAACATTTATGCACTTCTCATAATAATCAGCCTTCTTCAGCATATACAGTTCTTATATGCAGTCCTCAGCTCTAAGCCTCTCTGCACACCTCTGTGTGATACTCACACTGCTCTCCCAGCAGTGGATCACAGACTCTCTCAGCTGGCTCCAACAGGTCCCTTGGGTCACTGACCTTCCTGACCTCTCCCAGCCTCCCCCGGCTGTTCCATGTGCGTCCAGCATGCACCTGAGTCTGCCTGTGTGCCTCCTGCGCACACACACAACTCCAACTCAACTCCCCGAGCACTGGGCTGGCTTCCTAATGAGGCTGCTCTCAGCCACCTGATCAGCCCAAGCTGGTCATTGGTAACACCTGGCCCCAGGACTGGAGATCTCATCCCACCCAGAGCTCTATGAAATCTCCAGATCCCAGTTACAATTCAGAAAACCTGTAAGAATCTGAGGCCTGGCTCACACCTGTACGTTTTGTAGCGCGTTCAACACTCTACGAACGCTCTACAAAACGCTCAAACATGAAAATCCCATTGTTTTCTATGGGAATGGTTCTGAACGCGCTACAAAACGGCCTACGCCTGAAAAGGTACATAAGCTTCTTTGCGGTGTTTTTGTTGCGCGTTTCCATTGCGATACAGCTAAGTAGCCCTCGGAAACGCGGGTTTTTTTTCCGCGAATCGCGGTAAAAACGCGCGTCACACGTGCATATTCGATACGCCTAGGTGTGAACAGAGCCTGAAAGGCCAGGTTCTTCCTTTTAAAATGGTTTACTCTTTGGACCCTCTCAGCTTCTCTGGCTGAGAGTCCTGGGTGCCATAGTTGCCAAACTTCACCGTGGCATTGGCTTGCACTGCCACATCTGTTACAACCACCGCTTTATGTATTTGCACATTCCTTCCTGAGACTTGTCTGTACGGGTACTATCACAACCTACTGACTTGGTGATATTCACATACTATCTCCATACAGAGGATGTGATTCCTTGTCATTCCTAGAGTAAAAAAAGACGTTCCTATCTTTGCCATTAACAGGATAACATAGCCACCTTACCCTTTGAGAAGGTGGTGTGGAAAGAGAGAGTGTAGAAGATTACTGGGAAGTTTTAGCACAAGACTGTACCAATATACAGAAAACAGCGGGGGTGAGACAGAAGATGCCAAGTATGCACAGATTAAGCTGTAACAATGCTAATCTTGCACTTGTAGTTAGAAATACAGCATAACACAGTGAAATACAATTATATAGATATGCAGTGTGACTGAAACAGCGGAAATAAGGAAAATAACACTGGATGTGGCAGCACATTCATCTATTTGTGTTTGGTATGTTCTACTGCTCCCCCTCTGTTTTGCTTTTAGTTAATACAGCCCCTATTTGCCACCATACGTCTCACCTTGCTAGTTCAGGGTTGTTGCTCTTCATGAAGAATAGAGAGTTATATATTTTCAAGTTCAACACACAGGAAATACCCAAAGATCTTCTACAATACCAAGCTGCAATAAACGACATTAGATTGCACTTCTGAGACTTGGTGAGATTACACTGCGTGTGGATCTTATTGAATTAACAATTTATCATACTGTTCATGCAGACTGGTTCTCAGGAGGTATGTATTTTACAAAAAGCGACATTTGAGACAGACAATCTACACACAGATACTTATAGGTATTTGCTGGCTTTTTATTCTTTGAAAACCTTTTTTCCTTTCCTCTCAATTCTTCTCACGGTGGCCATTTTCATTAAAGGCAGATTAATCCATCTCCTTTTACTTCCTGGAACTCTGGGTCTGCCTCCTGGAACATGTGACAGCGTACAAAAAGATGAGATTTCCTGGGAAGACACTGTTGATGTACCATTCCCAGGTTGCATCTGTGAGGCCAGAACTACATCACCAGTGCCTCACTCAAAAAACAGTAATTGTAAGAAAAAGCAAAAAACATTTTTATGTAACTAATGAGTGTAAGATAATTTCATATCAGCGTGAAGAGCTGCATGTTGATGTTTTTTTTTGTGAAAGCGGGTAATGGTGCGCTTTAAGAGTTGAAGAGCTACTTTTTATTGTACTTGTTGTATAAGTAATATGTGTTTTTTTTGCAACCCTGTAGTACAAAGGTAGTACAGTGCTTAGATAACAAAAAGTCCACAACTTGTATGTATTGGTAGACATAGAACATTTTACAGTAGCAACATTTTTTAGCTATTGGTTTAATGGACCATTGGAGGAGCACAGACCATCATCTGCCATTTGCCGGTGATCACATAGTTTGGTTAAAAGGCGCAAATTACATATAAAGGATGAACTTTGTGCAAAGAATAAAGTGAAACACATGTACCACAGGTTTTAGCTATTTAAGGAACAAACCAATTTATTTTAATAACAAAGTATTTACAATTTAAAGATGAACTTATTAAAAAAGTGGAGTTCATGAAAGTTGGTAATAGTTGAGATAAGATGCTATACAAGAATTAATTAATATAATATTACAAGAATCTAATCATCTTAAATGCTGAAAAGTTTGCCTGTGGATATTGATGGAAGTAGACTATTGAATTCCATTCCTTCCAGTTGTTTATAAGCTTTCTATGTTATAAGCAATTAGGCCATCCATAGAGAATCCAAGGTAAAAGGACACCCGCTCAATGCTTTTGCCGCTTCTCAGCTGTCCAAGATAAACTGGTCTCACTGGAATCTTTATCCCACCGGTACACTCCACGTAGATCATCTTTTCTTCAGCTCTTCCATTTACAAGGAGTAACAAATCTTTGGTTGCTTTTTCCTTCCAGATGTCTCCACTCTGCCACAGAGAGTTTAGATCCGATATTGGCAAGGAAAAAAGATGATCAATTTTGTCTTTGTGAACTAGTCTTTCTAGGCCGGCATGTTTGCCTAGATAGAAATGAGCTATGGGTTGTTTGGCATGGCACATGTGCCGATACTGACCTCTGAAAGTTTTTCTCATAGAGATGATATATTCAGCTATATGTTTAGAGTCAGAATCCAACTGGTGAATGCTCTGAGGCCAGAACAGCAGTGATGCTAAGAAGTAAGGTTCTGGAGATTTGTAATCCAGGCCAGAAAGCTGCAAAACCTCTCTGAGATACTTTTTCAGGGTTTCAAAGGGTGCAATCAGTGTAGATTTTGGAGAAATACAATGAAGCACAATATTTGCCAAGATAAAATTTTGCTTATCTCTCATAATGAATCTGTCTGTGCGGTTCTGGAGCAAATACTTGTAGGCTTTGACGATAGTTTCCATGTTTTTATTCTGCTTTACAGAATCCGTAAGATGTTCCAGAATTCCTGAGAATCTGTCTGCCTTGTACGACTGAAGGCCTAACCTGTAATCCTCAATACGTCTTGAAGCACCTCCCTGTTGTGTGTCCTTTTCATCTGTAATCTGCTTTAGATCGGGGTTACAGAAATTCCGTCTGTATTTTAAATAATACTCTGAAACTTTATCTCTTATTTTAAACTCTGTGCTTTCCTTCAGGATGTTCCGTTGTTTTAGATACACAAAATAGTCTTGAAAGAAATCAAATGCATCCTTTAGATAGGAGTTCAACTTAATCAAAAAAGATCTGAAATCGGTAAGAACATGATAAAATTCTTCGTAATCTTCACTCACGGTATCGACTGAAATGTCCCATTTACCAGATAAGTATTGCATGAGATGCTTTCTAGACAAAATGTCTTTTGAATTGAACCATGGTATCTGTAGAAGTATATCTGTTGTATAGAGGCAGACTTCAGTTTGGCCAAGGTACCCCGCTGTATTGTACACCCGGAAGCGTCTGGCCTTTGTCAGTTCATGCTCTGACCTTTCTCTCTCTGTTTTTTCTGTTTGTTCCTGGCACTCTCTGAAGGCAATTGATGCATTTTCAGCTGTTTCCAGAAAGTTTTTTAGTGCTTCAGCAGATACAGGATTATCTTTGCCAAAGGTGTCCATCATGGATTTCAGTTGGGTCTTATATATCTGACCAAGAGTATCTAGAATAAATGAATTTGTTGGTGCGATTCGTTTTGCCTCCTTTGCCCAATGAAATGCATCTGGGAAATTTCTCTCTCGAATGTAGAAGTGTCTTGCTAATGCTTGACATATATAAGGATTTTGGTTGAACCTCAAGGTCCCTTCTTTCAAAACAGTTTCAACAAACAAATTACCTTCATGTTCTTGTATGTCTTCAATTAATGGAGAGAACAAAGTGTCTGTTTCATCGCCGTGCTCCTTTCGATGCCGTGTTACCAGCATGCTCTGCATGTGTTGACACAGAATCTCTCTGCCAATTCCATTGCTATGGAAAACATTGGTGTCCAGCAAGCTACGCATGATACTACTTTGTTGAATGAAGTATGTGTTCATTAATTCCTCTATGCATTGTTTTGCAATCAGTGGATGGCTTATCCGTAGACCTTGGTATCGTCCATATTCTTCCACCTCCATGCGGAGCATTATGGTAAAATAAGCTCCCATGGTGTCTTCTATGCTCTCATAACCCCAATATGTTTTCTTTGCTGTTATCCCAAGGAACTCCTCGCACATTGATGCAGAAATTGTAGAATCCTTCACATATTTGCTTAAAAGGGCCAGGATGGAAACAAGCTGGGCCTGCTTGCTTGTATTGTTTAATCCTTTAAGTATATTTCGTACCACATTTTCAATATACTTCTTGTTAAAATTGCTTTTCATGATCATAAATGAATAGAAATCATGTGGCTTCTCAAACTTGGCCTCAATCTCTGTTAACTTCCTTTCAAAGGCTCTTTGCTCTTGCTCAGAAAGCTTATACGTTAAAGGAACACTGTCTGCCGAATTAGATTTTGAGCTTTGCTCTGGGTTCTGAGATCTCATGCAATTCAAAATGATCACAACAGGCTTTTCAAATTTCATGTACCGCTCTGAAATTACAGACCGTATACAGTTCTGTAAAATAAAAACATTTTCTTCTTCTTCATAATCATCCACAAGAAGCAAGACAGGGTAATATTCTGTGCGACTGGGTGAACCACATACAGCTAAATTAATAACTTCCCCGGCAATGTCGGTAAAGCTATCTGTTTTTCGATTTAATGTTGCACATCGAAATGTGTCCCGTAGTTCCCAGAGGACATGCATTGCGGTAGTGGTACCTCCACAACCAGGGTGGTGAAACAGAGTAATAATTTTTACACTTATTTGTTTGTCACATTTGGACCATGATTCAATCTGTTCCTTCAGCTTCTTATGGATATCCCTTTCAATAAATGGTCCTGTGTATTTTTTCAGTGAAAAGTAGAAGTTCCACCATGTGGCTTTACCTCCTTTGTAAAAATGTTCTTCCTGAGTCTTTATGAAATCTGACAATTTGGGCTTATTACTCTCCATCTCCGTGTCATGACACTCATTGGCACAAAGAATGTTTAAAGAAGTCATCAGATCTTCATCTTTCCCGTGCAGAATGGTTGAAGATCCACCATGTGATGGCAAAAATCTGCTTGAAGATCGGGTATCAGACTTGAGTTTTAAAACTGTCCCATTTACCTTTTCAAAGTCCAAGCTATAGATGCATCTTTCTTCCATTTCTTCCTCATTTACTAGTCTAGTTTGTAAACCTCTCCAGCTTTGAAAGGTTTCTTCACTTTCACAAATGCACAGGATGTCTGTCATACCACTAAACTCCTGGTAAAAGGCACTGAAGACTTCATTCATGGGGTCAGCTGGGTCTTCAACCGCTGAAAGCAAAAGAAGCACAACAAGGAATTTTCCTCTTTCCAATACATCTTTCCTGGATAGAAAGGATATCAATCGTCTCACATCTGCTGCTTTCTCTTTTTGCCATTGCTTGTAATTTAGGGGTTTGTAGTCTTGACTCTCAAGATCCAATCTCCCATTGCAGAAGATCCAAGCGGTCCTCTGATACAGTTTAAGTTCGTCCAGCTTTTCATTTGTGACGTTGTCCATATTTTGGTATTGGCTTGGAACATGCAAACTGGGTTTCCTTTTCTCTTGGAAAGCTTTACATAAACCGCTGGTAATCGACTCTGGATCGAAATCTAAAACTGCAAACCAAGGCACTTCATGCATGAAGTCTAAGTTCTTTGTATGGGTTTCTTGGCATTTGTTTACAGCCAGAATATACCATTTATAGTACGAGTTGTCCAGAGTGTCTCTGTTTCCTGTTAATAACCTCACCAGCTTAGAACCATGCTCTTGGCTTCTCTTTAGCTTTCTTTTCTGGTTGTCTTCAGCTGTTTTTCGGGCATCATCCCTGTCTTTAATTTCAGTGTGAAATGACTTCCATTCAGCCGTATTGTGTTGTACATTTGCCAGGATATTTTTGGAACTTGCTCCATCTCTTACAAAACAACATTTATCTTTACTCTTTTTCCAAGAATTGTCCTTGAAAACTTGTTCATACGTATAGAATATTTGTGAGTGGCAAAAAGCATGTGCAGGAACGACATCTACTTCTATAACAAACAAATCAGACTTTGTATTGTCCTGACACAGTACGCAGACAAAACGGGGCGGACGAATGCATTGTTTTGCCAAGTTCAGTTGCTTTTCCTCAAAGCATTTGCTGATCATTTGATCTATGTAATTGACATATGTATCCACGTTCTCAATGTGAACACCAATAATTTCTCCATGTGGCTTGTCCCGTACTCCAAAATGGATGGTGCCATTGGTGCGGGAGTTCATGCATGCAGCGGCAAACCTAAAGACTTCATTGCAGAACTTCATTTTTTTGTCCTCTTGAGTAGCGGTTTCTGTATTGGTGAACTCTTTGTACTCATGTACTGGGTCAATGTAATTGGATGTCCCAGATTCAGGTGGAAGATAATGGTGCTGTGTATAACATTTCCTTGCATCACTGCAATCAAAAGGGCATGGCGATGTTTTTGGAGTACTATAAGAACATTCAGCCGGTGTGGTATTTAGATTTCCTGATTCTTTGTATGTGTCCTCTGATTCTTCTGTGCTATTGTTTTTTTCCTGGGGTGTGGCAGATGTACTCTGTTTAGATTTTGATTTGTTTTGCTTAGTCTCTGTACCTTTTTTATTAACTCCTAGATTGCTCTGCTGGCCCTGGTCCTTGCAAGTTTCATTGAGTTTTTTCAAGTGATGAGCTATCCATACAGCCGGACCATGATTGATTCCCATCTCCACCAAGTCTTTTTTAGTTAATACTTTTAGGACCTCTCCTGTTACTTCTTGATTGTACAGAATATCTCCAACAGATAAGCTGAGTTTAAGTTGTTTGGTGACCCAAAGTTTTACATGATCCCTTGTCCATTCTTCAATGTTTGAAGGCATAGATTTTGGTGTCTCCATTTTGAGCTCCGTCATTTCCCTGCAAATTAAAATATTTGCTGTCAGAATATATTCCATTACAGAGGATACTCTCTTTAAAATGTTAGGCATACTATGTACTATTTAGTCCACATCTGCAATCCTAAATTCAATTCATACGATTGTACAATTGACCAAACATATCAAAGACATACAGTCTGCAGGGCTCAAAATTTCCACTCGCCCCTTTGCAATTTGCGAGTGAAAATTGCGTGGGGGCTAGTGGAAATGAAGCCATTGAGTCAGGCACTCAACTCCTGGAGGCACTCCTGAACCTCCTCGGGGCGGCTTCTCTCACACTAGTCTGTCTAGGGGATTTCATCTTTAGCTGCCCCACTAGCATTCAACCGCCCCCTTCTAGTGACCACAAAGCTGATGTCCACTCCAGTAATGCAATGCTGAATAACTTTTATTAACTCTTCATACGGGGGAGAGAGGGTATAGGGGTCCTAGACATCCAGGGTGTAACATACATAGACTGCAGACTCACCAGACCTTTTAAGCATCTCAGAGTAGATCTGTTTGTGGTACAGCGAATAATAATAATTGGAGTAACACAGGGATCCCAACCTGAAAGAAGCAATTTCAGGGAGATGTCCCTCTCATTTCTGGGAGGTGCCCTCTCCCCCCATACAAGCCATGGCCCTGAAGTCCTTTAAGTTCCAGGTAACGTCAAAAGCCATCCATTTTTCTGGTTCTCCTCCTCTGGCAGCAACACAGGCCTCCTCCATACTGGTTAGCTAAAAAGCCAGCACAGCAGTAGCGGCATGCTTTGAAGCTTGGTTTATCTGATTGAAAACTCAGGCTGAGCCATTCAGTAATGCTTGATTTGCTTTTGTTTTTTTGGTTTGTATCAGCTTGAGGCATTAAACTCTATAAGTAGGATTTTTACAACAAAAAAGCAAAATGATAGCCTGCACCAGGGGAACCTTGACCTGGTGAGGTGACAAACACAAACAAGCAACTAGACCTTTATGGTAGGTACAGATTTTTGGGGGCTAAAGAAAGTGTGAAAGTACCACAAAATGTGCTAATGTGCCGCATGGATTGGTGGACATTGTGACATTCTGGTTTATTACCATACACCTTATTATATCTTTCAGCATTAGCTTCCTTTGCAGCTCTGGGCATGCAGTCACATGATACTGTACCTCAAAATTGCAAAGAAGGTTGGTGCTCGAAGACTTCCTTTTGCAAGGTGATGTGATCACAGGTCTAAATGGTCCATCGCTGTTATAGTACCACTAGTAAATAGTAAGGATTAGGAGATGGGAAAGGGTGGAGCCAAACTCCTGACTCATTGATTGAAGAAGTAAGCCCTTATCAGTTTTCTCTAGGATTCTGGGCAACAAGGATGCTAACAATGACCACAAGTTAGACAAAATGAATAGGTTACCTGTTTTAAAGGTATCTAATGAAATCTTGGGATGCATACAAGGAGCCAAGTCTTCAGTTTTTCATCCAGACATTGCTGTACCACGCTGGTCCACCCATTTAGTTTGTAATCTGATGATCCTGGAGCACAACTGCTTGTAATGCTGGAATGCTCACTGCTGGCTCTTTGGTGTCTTTCACTTACAGAAGAGCTAAGGTAAAATAAAAGACGGAAAAGATCATGGTAAAAATAGTAGTATTTTTATAGTAGAAATTTCCCACACCCACCAATCAGAGATACACCTGCCTTGGAAGATTGAATATAATGGGTGATACAGAAAGGAGGGAGAGACATTAAACCGCACTTCAGTATGTATGTGACATCAAGTCCCCCCCTTCACATCACACACCCACGTTTACATCAAAAGGCTCAGTTAACATCAGAAGCCGCCCTACTATACATCAGAGTTCCCCTTCACATCGGAAGCCCCTCTTTCATATCAGAGCCCCCCAATGTCAAGGGGGAGGGGGGGGCTTTGATGTGAAGGGGGACTCTGATATGAAAGGTGGACTCTGATGTGAAGGAGGGACTCTGATGTGAAAGGGGGGCTCTAATGTGAAAGTGGGGCTCTGATATGAAGGGGGGGGGCTCTAATATAAAAGGTCAGGATGTCTCCCTGATGAAGGGACCCTGCACGCCTCCGAAACGTTGGCTTCTTGACACATGTGACCAGGGCCGGATTTCCCACAAGCCCAACCGAGACCCGGCCTTGGGGCAGCAGGGGAGTGAAATTCCTATCTCCCGACAGTAGTTGTTTTCTACGTTTAGCCCTACTCTAATGTGAAGGGGGAACTCTAATGTGAAGGGGGAACTCTGATATGAAGGGGAAACTCTGATGTGAAGAGGGAACTCTGATGTGAAGGGGGAACTCTGATGTGAAGGGGGAACTCTGGTGTGAAGGAGGAACTCTGATGTGAAGGGGGAACTCTGGTGTGAAGGGGAACTCTAATGTGAAGGGGGAACTCTAATGTGAAGGGGGAACTCTGATGTGAAGGGGGAACTCTGATGTGAAGGGGGAACTCTGGTGTGAAGGAGGAACTCTGATGTGAAGGGGGAACTCTGGTGTGCAGGGGGACTCTAATGTGAAGGGGGAACTCTAATGTGAAGGGGGAACTCTGATGTGAAGGGTGCACTCTGATGGGGAGGGGG